AGTGGATACATAAAATTAGCTATCACAGTATCACAGTATTACAGACATTTTTTCTTTGCTTTTATACATGTAGAATCATACCATGTGCTTTGCTGTGCAACTTGTGTATTATACTAAGTATACTGTCGTTAACAAAATCTCATACCAATCTCTCCAGGTCAATCATTTTATTTATATATACATATATATTTAATATGTTTTATTTTATATGTAAATTTAACATATATAAATATGTATTTATATATAAATTACTCATTCTTTTAAATAATCATGTAAGGTTAAACCATTTTCCCTTTGGGGGGTTATTTCCAGTTATGACCAAAAAAAAAAAAAAAAAAACTCTATACTTATGTACTAGGGCATTTTTTAAAAAAGATTTATTTATTTGTTTGAAAGGCAGAGAGACAGATCTTTCATCTTCTGGTTCATTCCCCAAACGGCCTTAAGGACAAGTACTGGTCCAGGCTGAAACCAGGAGCCAGGAGCTCCATCCAGGTCTCCCATGTGGCTGGCAGGGGCCCAAGGACTTGGGGCATCTACTTCTGCCTTCCCAGGGATGTTAGTAGGGAAGTGGATTAGAAACGGGATCGGAGAGGTCAGCGCTGTGGCGTAGCGCGTAAACCTGCAGCACACTGGCATCCCATATGGGCACCAGCTCGAGTCCCGGCTGTTCCACTTCTGACCCAGCTCTCTGCTGTGGCCTGGGAAAGCAGTAGAAGATGGCCCAAGTCCTTGGGCCCCTACACCCATGTGGGAGACCCGGAGGAAACTCCTGGCTTCGGATCGGCGCAGCTCCCGCCATTGTGGCCATCTGGGGAGTAAACCAGTGGATGGAAGACCTCTCTCTCTCTCTGCCTCTCTGTAACTCTGACTTTCAAATAAATAAATAAATCTTAGGAAAAAAAAGAAAGAAATCAATCGCAGTCACTCGGATATGGGATATAGGTGTTCCAGGTGTTGACTTAACCCACTGTACCACAGCGCTCACTCCTGGTGCATTTATTTCCTTAAACCAGAGGCCCAAACATGAGATTATTGTGTCAAAGAGTATGTGTCATCTTTGATTTTTAATAGCTCTCACTAAATTACTTTCTCTTTAAAAAAAGAAAAACCTTGATTATTTGAAAGGCATTGTGACAGAGAGAGAGAGAGAGAGAGAAAGACAAGGAAGGGAGGGAGGGAGAAAGATCATCCATCCTCTGGTTCACTCCTCAAATGGTTGCAATGGTCAGGGCTAGGCCAGGCTGAAGCCAGCAGCCAGGAGCTCCATCCAGGTCTCCCATGTGGGTGGCAGGAGCCCGAGGACTTGGGCCATCTGTTGCTGCTTCCCCAGGCACCTTAGTAGGGACCTGTATTGGAAACAGAGCAGCAAGGACTTGAACTGGCACTCAAATGGGATGCCAGTGTCGCAAGTAGCAGCTTAACCTGCTGTACCACAATGTCAGCCCCAATTATTTTTTTTTTAAAGATTTATTTATTTATTTGAAAGGCAGAGTTACAGAGAGGCAGAGGCAGTGAGAGAGAGGTTTTCCATCCACTGGCTCACTCCCCAAATGGCCGCAATGGCTGGAGCTGCGCCTATCCAAAGCCAGGAACCAGGAGCTTCTTCCGGGTCTCTCATGGGGGTGCAAGGGCCCAAGGACATCTGCTGCTTTCCCAGGCCATGGCAGAGAGCTGGATCAGAAGTGGAGCAGCTGGGACTCAAACCGCACCCATATGGGATGCCAGCACTGCAGGCTAAGGCCTTCCCCTCTAGGCCACAGTGCCATCCCCCTTCAATTACTTTCTTTAAAAATTATTTATTTTATTTGAGAGGCAGAGAGACAGATACAGAGAGATCTTCCATCCACTAGTTCACTCCCCCAAATACCTGCAACAACAGGCAGGGTTGGGCCAGGCTGGGGCCAGGAGCCTGGAACTCATTGTGGACCTCCCATGTGGGTGGCAGGGACCCACGTGCTTAAGCCATCACCTGCTGCCTCCCAGGGTGTGAATTAGCAGGAAGCTGAATTGGAGGCAGAGCCCGGACTGAAACCCAGGCACTCTGATAGGGACTGCAGACCTGTCAAGCAGTCCCTTAGCCACTACACCCCAACGCCTACCCCTGCCAAGTAACGTTTTAAAAATGCTACAGCAATTCTTCCAACCAAGAATGAAAGTGCACATTTCCCCACCTCGCTGTCAAAATTGGCTCCAGATGTCACCTGATGGGTGAAGAATATTATGTTGCTGTTTGTAGGTGCATGCTTTTTAAATGTTTTAAGTTGTTGTAGAATATCCAAAACACTAAGTTTACCATCTTGGCCATTTGGAAGTGCATAGTTCGTCAGTGGTATATTCACCTTGTTCTGCAATTAAGCTCTAGAACTCTCTTCATCTTGTAAAATGGAAACTTTATACCCATTACATAGCACTTCCTCCACTCCTCCCTGCCCCCAGCCTCTGGAAACCACCAGCCTACTGTCTGTATGAATCTGACTGTTCTATGTGCCTCATGTACATGGAGTCGTATAGTAATTGCCATTGTGTGATGGACTTCATTTCCCATAATGTCCTTGAGGTTCATCCATGTGGTATTTCCTCTTTAAGGCAGAATAGTATTCCCTGTGTATATACCTTTTTATTTTTTAACAATCCATTCATCTGTCAGTACACACACATGGGCTGCTTCTGCTTTGGGCTATTATAAATAATGCCACACTGAACATGGGAGATCCTGCTTTCAGCTCTTTTGAGTATATACCCAGAAGTGGAATTACTGGATCATTTGTCATTTTTTAGGTACCAACTTACATGTTTTCCATAGCAGAGGCATCATGTTAGGGTCCCACCAACAGTGCACAAGAGTCCCAAGTTCTCCACATCCTTGCCAACACTCGTTATTTTTCGTTTTTTAAACAGCCAGCAGCTTCCTATTCATTTATATATATTCATATACTTATAATCATGTATTTATGTGTCAGCTATTTGCATTTTATTTTATTTTCTAAAAATTGTTGATAGTTTATGCTCTTTAACGTCTTTTCTTTTGGGTTGTGTGTCTTTTTCTTATTAATATATAGGAGCCTTATGTTTTATGTCAAAATTGATATTTTGGGGTTCAAAAACAGTTGATTATCAATAATTTCATACAGTTCCAGCTAATATTATATTAATCGTAGTATTATAGATGTTAGTCCTGTAGTCTGCCTTCAATTGCAACTATTTTCTCACAGCGTATTAGTTGCCCTTTGACTTTTTTTAAAGATTTATTTATTTTAAAGATTTTATTTATTTATTTGAGAGGTAGAGTTACAGGCAGTGAGAGGGAGAGACAGAGAGAATGGTCTTCCTTCCATTGGTTCACTCCCCAAATGGCCGCAATGGCTGAAGCTGCACCCACCAGAAGCCAGGAGCCAGGAGCTTCTTCCTGGTCTCTCATATGGGTGCAGGGGCCCAAGGACTTGGGCCATCTTCTACTGCTTTCCCAGGCCATAGCAGAGAGCTGGATTGGAAGAGGAGCAGCTGGGACTCGAACCGGCACCCATATGGGATGCCAGCACCACAAGTGGAGGTTTAACCTACTACACCACAGCGCCGACCCAGTCCTTTGACTTTTTATGGTGTCGTCTACCACTGAAATTGTCTATTTTATCAAATCTATTTTATTTCCTTTATGCCTTTTGAGTTTCTTATTATTTAATAAGTCCTTTCTACCTATTATATATTTCCCTAAATTTATTTCTGGTGTGTGTTGGCTTTATATTTGCATCTTTAATCCATCTGTAATTAAACATGGATGAATTATAGGTCTATCTTTATATTTTTCACATGATAGGCCATTATTCTAGCACCATTTATTAAATAAGCCATCACTGAGTTGAAATGCCACCTTTATTATACATTGTATTATATCCCCATAAAACCAATTTCTTTCCTCTCAATTCCATTCCATTGATTTGTCTGTTCTTGTACCAGTGTCCTATATTTTTTATTACACTAGCTTTAGCATGAATTTTAATGTCCATCAGGGCAAGACACCAATGGGGCATTACTGGTCTTGTTTTCAAAACTTTATCAGCAGCCATCACCGTGCCATTGAGCTATTGGTCTCCACACAAATCAGAGGAGATCCCTAGTTAACAGTTAAATCCCTTTGGCACCTTAATAGCTCAGGAAGCCCGTCAAGTTCAAGTTTCACCCAGCACTCATAGAGCTCAGCTTGGCAGGCTGGTAGTCAGAGCTTCAGCAAGTGATTGGCTAGGAGGATTGGCTAGAAGAGCAGAAGGAAGAAGCGAGTTTCTGTAGAAGCCCTTAGCATAGCATAGGCTATGGTTGCTTATAATGGTGTCCCCCACTGTCCCCAAGAGCGACCGCCCCCATGGGTGGGACAGAAAATGAAGGTGGAAGAGCAGCAGAATCAAACAACCTGTCTCTGAGGTTTGGTTAAGAAAGACCTAGTGCTTCACAAATATTTAAAGGACCCTTAAGTGTAAATAACAACTCCTCTGCCTGTTTAGTCTGCAACACCAATTATTCCATTCAACACAGAAGCGACAGCGTGCCAGCGGGCTCTCCCGGCAGGTGGTGAGGACACGCCAGCAGCCAGGTGGTGCATGCCAGCTGAACAGTATTTCGGGAGTAAATGAAGCACAGCATGGCAGTTAACTCGGGCCATGCAACAAGGGGCCTGTGCAGGGGCCATTTGTACCGAAGCAAGGGCTACCTCGAGCAGAAATTTGAAGTCCGTCTTCAGCGACCTTGCCCTTATCTCATAATTTTTGTGATAGGTGTCTGCAATTTGTACGGTGACGCTGGTACTCTGCCCCTTACTCACTGGTTACGATGAACTCCCATTCTTTTTAATACTGTTACAAACGTTAAGAGTAATAGATGAACTTTAGTAAAAGTGGATATAGCCCGTCAGGCTTCCCACACCCAATGATAAACCTTTCCCTTTAAAAAAAAAAAAAAGGATATAGAGAACAAAAGAAAAAAAAAAAAAACCTCATCCACCCCAACCCCCCAATCTCCCTTTCATTTTCCTGCTGTCTTACATGGAGAGAAAGTTCCAGTAAAGCAGCTAATGAATCCAGTGTTGTTAGATTTCTTCTTATAAATGATCAGCGTGGCTTACTACGTTAGAAACTGGTTGCATTTTACGAAAGGAAGTGAAGTATTTGCCTACAGCAGATCTCACGGCGCAGGCTAGGAAGAAAGGGAGACTGAGCGAGCCAGAGGCATGAAGGGTCCACAGGTGGGCACTCCAGGTCGGCAGACGGTCCAGGGCAAGTCACAGACACCGAGGAAGTGCGTCCGACTTCGGCAGATAGCCATGCCGGAAGGGAACCAGGCTTGGGGGGCGGGGCGGCGCGGCGCGGCGGCGGGGGTGTCTGGCAGCCCACTTGCAGAGGCAGCTAGCTGCTCAGGGCATGTTGGGGCTGACAGGATGGATACAGGAAGCTGCCCCCTCCCCCCACCCAGGGGCCCCGAGCAGACGTCCTCCTGCGTTTAACGGACACTGGGGGATGAACAGAGAGAAAATCCAAGAGCTCAAAATGCAGACAGAAGAGAAGCAGGTAGGCTGCTGGAAATACTCAGGGAGGGGGCTGCCCCAACACCCCCGCACCCTCCCTCGCCCCCGGGGAGTGCCCGTCACCACAAGCCTCCCCCCAGGAGCCCAGCACGGTCTTTTCCACCTGAGCTGCTTCCGCCCCCACTCTGCGCCCCAAGACGTGGCCTCGAGGGGCCCCATCAAAGAGCTGCTATGCCTTGTGCCTTGAGGTTCACCTTGGCCGCCGGGAGCACACGGGGTGTGAGGAGAGAGGGTGTTGCTTCCCCCAGCTGCCTCGCGGAGGGCGGCAGGCCTGAGCCCTGGACCAAAAACTTCTTCCGGCCTGTGGTTCCCTGCACCCTGATATGCCTTTGTGAACAGTCTCTTTATTAAACCCTCCTCAAGTTACCCAACGCCAGGGCGCCATCTGTTTCCTGCCAAGACCTGGATGGCCTAGTGACAGAGTCCCAGGACCCCTGCTGTTCCAGGCCGAGGTACTGGAGCCCAGGGCAGAGCCCAAGGTTACCGCAGGTGCCTGGAGCGAAACCTGAACTTGAGCGCTTTCGGGGAAGGACTGTCTTGCTAGCCTGTTAGTATGGGGCCCATCTAAGAACAGATTTCCCCTTTCTTCAGAAGGAATTTTCTGCCTCAAAAGACCCTGGGCCCAAGTACTTCGGCCCCTGCCACCCACATGGGAGACCTGGAGGGAGTTCTAAGCTCCTGGCTTCCGTCTGGCCCAGCCCGAATGCTGGCTATCGCTGGCATTTGGGGAGTGAACCAGCAGATGGAAGTCCGTGCTCTTATGCTCACTTGCTTGCTCACTCGCCCTCTCTGCCTTTTGAGTAGATGAACATAAATATTAAAAAATATGAGTCTGAATGGTTTTAATGAGTCACACAAATGTGGATACACAGACAGGGAGCTGTTGATGATTTTGGCATTTCCATAAAAATCGAGAAATAGGAGGAATTGGTTTCGTCCCCAGTGAGGACTGTGCTAACTGACGTTTTGTCTGTCTCACTGGGTTTCTCATTCCTTCTTCTGCGTCACGTCACGGGAGAGCCCCTCCTGGCTCTAGCTGAGCCTAGAGGGCGCAGCAGTCGCAGAGCCCTACCCCACTCCTTGATAGTCATTTGGTGGTCACGTGACAAAAACAGAAGCAATGAGAACCTTCTCTAAAATTGATACATGAACAGAGGGCCCAAGATGGAGCCCCTTTCTTCCAGCCCTGCTCACCCTTCCTTGCTACTAGCTGGGTGACCTTGGGTAAACCACTCCACTTCTCTGAGTCTCAGGGACTTGTAAGCATCAAGTAACACAAAGCATGGGAAAGGTTATTATAAACCCTAAGGTGTTTTGCTATGTTACCATGAATGAATGTATTATTAAACATAAACTTATGATAAATGAATTCTTTGTAAGGTGTGTTGGTCAATGACATCTTAAGACATTAACCTCCCAAGAGTGTGTATATGCTTCAGGGCGCAAGGACAGGCGACACTGATCTGTGCTGCCTGCAGTTGGGAGATGGTTAACTTCGCAGGTGGGGCCCATGCTCGGGGCTCAGGAGGGGGCTTCTGAGGGGTGTTGGTTGCACTCAGCTCCTGATCTGAGCTGTAGTCACCTAGGCATATTGTTAGTAAGATTCATTGTCCTGTATACTTAACAAATGTGTACTTTCTGTATGTAATGATTTCATTTCATTTTTCCTAATTTATTTGAAAGGGAGAGGGAGGGAGGGAGGGAGAAAGAGAGAGAGAGAGAGTTCTCATCCACTGATTCACTCCCCCCAAATACCCACAACAACCAAGAATGGGCCAGGCTGAAGCCAGGAGCCCAGAACCCAATCCAGGTCTCCGTGTGGGTGGCAGGTAACCTAGTACTTGACCCATCACGTGTTGCTGCCCAGGGTACACATTAGCAAGAGACTGGAATTGGGAGCGGGGCCTTGACTCAAGCCCAGGCAGTCCAGTGTAGGATGCAGCTGTCCCAGCTTGCATCTTCACTGCTGTGCCAAATGCTCCCTCCACTACTACTGCCAATAGCACGTTTCTAAAGCTTGGTGATTTCTGTGTCCATGACAATGGAGTAGACATACTTTTCCTTACTCCTCCCACTAAGTGCATCTTAAAATTTTGTGTATTATATATGAAACAAACATAAGATGACTTTGAAAGGGGAGAGAAGAAAGGCCTGCCCAAAGCCTCAGTGCCCAAAAGGAGTGACATGGAGGTGAGTTCTCCAAGTTCTTTTTTATTCGCACACCTCAGATTTGTACATGAAGAAGCTGGAACCCAGAAATGCCAACAGGTGCAGACAAGAAAAGCCTGCTCTTTCCAGCCAAAGGACAAGGAAAGGAACAGCATATACGAAGAGAGAAAACTTCTAGATAGTAACTGCTTTATTCCAGCTGAACAATACAGAAAAAAACCATGGACCAAGTGGGGAGCCCAGAATTCTACCCTTGCCAGGCTATAACCGAACCACCCACTGGGGCAGCATCAGAGGATACTGTCGCTCCCCCTCTTCATGGAGGAACGACACTAAACCCTGCCTAGGCTTCATATCCGAGTCACGGCACCATTATGTCGCTCCCCCTCTTCGTGGAGGAACGACACAGGACCCTGCGCTGTTCTTTCGTCTGCTCGGCCCTCCCCGGGTTTGCTGCTGGTTCTTCCCGGGTTGGCTACCGACCCTTCCACCTCCGTGGAAGGGCGGTTCCCCCTGCCACATTCCCCACTTCCGCGGGGGAGCGGCACACCACCGGCCGGCTCTCTCGGGGGCTGCACAGGTGTTCCCCTTAGATGTTCCTGGTGCATGTTGTCTCTCTCCTCCTTTATAGTCCTCTTCCACCAATCCCAACTCGGCTGCCCACACGCCAAGTACGCTGCTCTCCTCCAATCAGGAGCAGGATCAGCTCCTGGAGGTCATCACTCAAGTTGGCAAGAGGCAGCTGTGTAGAAGCTGTTTCTCCCTTCTCAGCGCCATATTGTGGGAGAGCAGATGCATAGAATAAGTCTTAATTCCAGTAACTTAGTCTAGTCCGAGTTGCTCCCCACAGATACCAAGTGTGGATCCAGCACTTTCATCCTTGCTGGGTGCTAATAAGGAAACCACAAGAGGAACCTGTACCTCTATCCCGCGCCTTCGTGTTTTGGTGGTATCAGAGGAAGCCGGTGGAGAGGCGGGATTTTTACCATTGCTCAGCAGCATTGAGACCACCCTCTCCCACCCACCCAGAAGTAATAAAGAGCCCCTCGAAGTGTCAACAAAGGCTGATGGGACTTCTACAGGTGACCTAGCAGTAATGGGGCACATCCTGTCCCCTCCCCTGCTGGAGTAGCGTTTAAAAGAAAAAAATCCAACAAAAACAGAAGGTTTAAATTAGGTACAGGATTATAAAATAACACTCAAAAGTTTCCATCAAAAAGAATCAGTCATCATACGAGAAACAAGAATGATCTCATTCTGAATCAAAAAAGTTACTCCATGGATGCCAACATTCACAGAAAACATATGTAAAATTATATGACAATGATTTTAAAGCAGCCATCATAAAAATCACCAAATAAACAATTATACACATGCTTGCAAAAGAGAAATAGAGAATCTCAACAAGGAAATGGATTACTGAAAGGGGAGTCAAATGGAAAATTTAAATTAGAAAAATACAGTGGTCAAATAAACAATTCAACGAAAGGGCTCAATATCAAAATGGAAGAAACAAAGGAAAGAATCAGTGAACTGGAAGACAGAACAGTAGAAATTACCCAACTGAAACAAAAAAAGAAAGACTGGAAAAAAAATAGAACCCCAGGGATGTGTAGAACTTTAGCAAAAGATACAGAGTTTGGGGAGCTGCTGGGGAGTTGCATAACTGTTGTGCACCAGAGAAGGAGCCCACATTAGGCCCCGCCCCCAATATCTAGAACTCAAGTTGCTACAGCACAGCATCACCTTCAGAATAGAGTGACTACTGGAGTTCATCCTGCCCCAGGAGTCAGTAGGTGGCTCCGGTATCACAACCATCACCAAGAAGCCCTGGGGCTGGCATGCATCTTCCAGAGCCTAAAGAAAGGCACCCCTGTGTCTTGCAGCTCCAGGACCACTGATGAGGCTCACTTTGTGGGCCCTGGGAAGATGCCAGCACCACAAGCCCCATCACAACTGGTGCTCATCTCCAAAGGCCTGAGGACAGCTTCCTTCACCACCAGCAGCGCCATGGCCAGAGGCCACAGTATTGTCCATACTCAACTCCATGGACACCTCTGGAAGCCACTGGAAAGTCGCACCACCACTTCAATCAACATCTGCAGTCTAGACTATTGATCCCTCAAAAAACTGAAAGTAGAACTAGCATATGATCCTGCCATGCCACTACTGAGTGTATATCTAAAAGAAATGAAGTCATTATATCACAGAATAGCTTCACTCCCATGTTTATTGTAGCATGACTCACAAGATAGAGAATTAAGCAAACTGTCCATCACTGAATGATGGATAAAGAAAATGCAGTATACATATACAATGGGATATTATTCAACCACAAAAAAGAATGAGAGTCTGTCATTTAGTTTAATGTGGTTGGAACTGGAGGATACCATGTTAAGTGGAATAATCCAGGCAGAGAAGGATGGATACCCTATGTTCTCAATTATTTGTGGAAGCTGGAAAAAATGCATCTCATAGAAGAGAGTGAAATAGTGGTCACCAGAGACTGGGTGGAGAAGGGAAATGGAGGGCAGAGAGAGGCTAAATAAGGGATAGCAAAGTTAAGTTCCATAGGAGGAATTCGTTCGGGTGTTCTTTAACTATGAGCTACAGCGATGTATTTTGAGATGACTGTAGAAGAGCCCCAAGTTTCCCAACACATAGAAATGATGAATATCTGAGGGGCTGGTACTTTGATTTAATAATTAAACATTGTATATAAGTATTATTGTACCCCATCATATGTACAAATATCATGTCAATAAAAATACATTTATATTTTTAAAGATCTAGCATTGGTATCATTAAAGTCCCAAAAAGAGAGGGTAAAGAGGGTACAGCTAAGAAGTACTCAAAGAAATAATGGCTGGAAAAAAAGTCCTAAATTTTGCACTCACACACACATACACACACAAAAGAAACTGTGGATTCAAGAGGCTGAGTGAACCCCAACCAAGATAAACCCAAAGAAACTCCAGTCAAGACATGTATAATCAAACTTTGAAAACTAGAGACCTAACTGCTGTGCCAAATGTCCATCCCACACACTCCTTTTTCTTTTCTTTTTTAAGAAAGCTTTTATTAAAAAAAGAAAAAGGAAAGAAAGCTTTTATTTAATGAATACAAATTTCATAGGTACAATTTTAGGAATATAGTGTTTTTCCCCTATCCCTGCATTCCCGTCCCACCTCCGATTCCCTCTCCCATCCCATTCTTCATTAAGATTCATTTTTAATTATCTTTATATACAGAAGACCAGCTCTATACTAAGATTTCCGCAATTTGCACCCACACAGACACACAAAGTATAAAGAACTATTTAAAAACAAGTTTTACAGTTAATTCTCATAGTACAACTCATCATCCCATACACTCTTAAATTTTTGAGTGTACAGTACACTGTTGTTAACACATCAGCACATCCTGACACTGTGAAGTAGTATGTCACTGTGATTTTGACTTGCATTTCCCTGATTATAGCTGTAAGCTATTTGTACATCTTCTTTGGAGGAATGCCTATTCAAGTCCTTTGCTCCTTCTGAATTAATGTCTTTTGTGTTGATGTTTGTATATGATGTAAGATAAATGGCAGATTTAATCTTATATGTAGGTATCCGATTTTCCCAATGTCACTTGTTGAAATGACTGTCCTTTCTCCATGTGTATTCTTTTATTTAATATTATTTAAAATTTAAAAAATTATTTTCATTTATTTGAAAGGCAGAGTCACATATACACAGAGAGGGAGAGGGAGAGCTCTTCCATCCTCTGGTTTACTCTCTAAATGCCCACAACAACCAGGGCTGAGCCAGGCCAAAGCCAGGAGCCTGCGACTCAGTAGGAGTCTCCCATGTGGAGAGCAGGGACCCAAGTACTTGAGCCATCACCTGCTGACACCCAGAGTTTACATTAGCAGGAAGCTGGTCTGAAGCAAAACATGGACTTAAACCCAGGCACCTTGATACGACATGCAGGCATGCTAAGTGGTACCTTAACTACCGTGCCAAATGCCTGCCCCTTTCTTGTGTGTGTCTTTAATTTCTTTCAGGAATGGGTGTTTGGTGTGCTGGTTAAGAGGTACAAGTCTTTTCCCTCCTTGGTTAAGTTGCTCCTAAGTATTTTATTTTTTTGTTGCTATATTATCAATTTGACAGTTGTCTTAAGTTTTTTTTTAGGATTGTTTACTCTTATCGTGTAGAAACACAACTGATTTTTGTATGATGATTTTATATCCTGTAGTGTTACTATACTTGTTTACTAATTCTAACAGGTTTTTTTGGTGTGTGTTTGCGTAATCTTTAGGGTTTTCTGTATATAAGATCATGTTATCTGCAGAGATAATTTTATTTCTGATCTTATAGCAAAAGCATTCCATTTTTTACTGTTGAGTATGGGCTGTGGGCTTTTCAAAAAAGCCTTTATTATGTGGAAGCAATTTCCTTCTAGTCCTAGTTTGAGTGTTTCTTATCATGAAAGGGTGTTAAAGTTGTCAAGTCCTTTTCTGCATCTATTAAAATGTTCATGGGATGTTGTCCTTTGTGGTGTTAATGCGGTGTATCACATTCGCTGGTTTGTGTATGTCAAGCCATCCTTGCATCCCACAGATAAATCCCACTTGGTCATGGTGTATGATCATTTTAATATGCTGTTGAATTTGGTTTGCTAACATTTTTTGAGAATTTTTGCTTCAATGGGTTTTGTTTCTCTCTCTCTCTCTCTCTCTTGAAAACAGTTTTTGTTTAAGAGACTGATATACACACATACAGATAGATAAACAGAGGGAGCTCCCATCTGCCGGCTTACTCCCTAAATGCCTGCAATGGCCAGGGCTGGGCCAGGCTGAAGTTGGGAACAGGTAGCTCCATCCAGGTTTCCCACATGGGTGGCAGGGACCCAACCACTTGTGCGCAATCACCTGCTACCTCCCAGACTGTGCACTCGCAGGAGGGTAGAACTGGGAGTGGACCTGGGACTCCAAACCTAGACACTCTGATATGGGCTGTGGGTATCTAAACTGGCATCCTGACTGCCAGGCCAAATGCCTGCCCTACTTTTCTTTTCTTGTAGCTTCTTTTCATGGCTTCGATGCCAGAGTAGCATTTGCCTCATAAAATGAATTTGGAAGTGCTCCTGACTCTTCCATGTTGGGGGAAAGTTTAGTGTTAATTCTTCTTTTAGTGTTTGGTAGAATCCCCCAGAGGAGCCATCTGTTCCTGATTTTCTTTGTTGGGAGGTTTTCACTACT